AATACATCTATTTTTTGCAAAGGCAGCAGTATGTCACCATTAGAAACATTTCACTTTGCCACAGGCACAAATTCAGCTCTTAAAGAGACTGAGGGTAGCTGATTAGAATATTGCTGCAGCACACCTAACCACGCCAGAGCACCATCATTTTCCTCTGATACATCCAAATACATTTGCCTGTCCCACTTCTGACATTAGTGAGATGACCTCATTGAAGAGGCAGGACCTGGAAGCATTCTGGAAAATGTGCAATGCTCTTTATTTCCTGTACACACACTTAGGCCCTGGGTTTCCGTGAGTACGTGGAGTAATGCCAGTTTACTTCAGGACGTCTGTAATGTTTATTAAGAAATCTTGGTGTAAATGACAGAGATGGGAGTGGCTACTTGATTTACATGCTGCCTTCACTTTAGAAAAGAGTAAAAAAGATGTCACATTTAATTTAGCTGTTATTTTGTTTACACTAAGCATTTACCTTTCTGTTTGACTGTGTCATTAGCATCGCCATTAGCTTGGGAATTCACAACAAACAGTGAACCTCACTGCATAAAAAAAACTTTTTTTTGTAATTTTTCATATTCTGTGTTGTACACGTAAGAAAGGACAGTAACATTACTTAACGTACATTGTTACATCGGCATGATTTTAACCACAGAGCATAACAAGGCTGAAGTTGGCTTCATATTCACCAGCTTTTTAATTGATTTTTCCCATTCCACCTTAAATGGTGTAGCAGTTACCTTCTCGCGCCTCAGGCATTATAACTGCTGCACCATTTAAGGTGGAATGGGAAAATTCCCTAAACGGCCCTAGTCAAGCAGAATTAGTATTACCTGGGGACATGTGTAATTTGAGTAATTACTGACAAGGTCCATGATTGAAATCATGCACTGACAAGCGGAAGTCTTACAAACTTATTGCATTATTATTATTTTGTTTGTGTTACCAGTATACGATATCGTACTCCATACATAGTCTAGGCTAGACTAATACAGTTATAGTCTTTGTAGCATTTGTTTTTGATCCCTGTATTGAAAACAAATGCTACAAATGCTCCCTGTATGTTAGTGTTTTGTAAGCTTAGAATTATGCTCTAGAGACTGTGATATTAAATTAAATGTAACATTTAGTTTTGTGATATTTCATATAAAGACATTGATAAGAGTGAATAGTTTAAAAAAAAAAAACACAGTGTCAAGTAGCCTGTTTACGCCTTTGCCAAATTTAGAATTCATTCATGTACGTTAATCATTCCATAAATCATAAATTTTTCAGTAAATAAAATTTGCATAGATATTATGTTGTGGTCACTTATATAAACTGAGTTTTTTTGTCCAGAAAACAATTTCATTGGTATCTGAAAAGCAATGCCATTAAGAAGTAATTTTGTTCTTATATGTTTAACGGTAATTGGTCAGTTTGTGAATAAGAAGGAAAGATGTAATAAAATAATGACTTAACAGAAGCTACTATTAGTAGAAAAAAACAAGTTTAGAAAATGATATTTTAATAATATGTAAGGCAGTGGGGAACCCTTCAGAGAAGGCCTAATGATTTCTGGGGACTAAAAAAATACATTGTAATTTTTAGTTCACTATTATTTAGTATAATCATGTTTGTATGTAAACATGTTGAGCCAAAATTATTCACTGCCATTATCATATATAACCCTAGCAGTGTTAGCAAAAACTAGCATTATAATAGGAGTGTTTTTTAGTAAGTTTTGATAGTTTTGGCCCACAGTGAGGGCCTAGCTCTAACTGTCATAGTCACTACTGACGTAAGGAGATAGTGATAGCCTAACGATGCCACCTAATCACAGGTTGAAAACGTCATTCCTTCAGAATTTAGCGTTCCAAGAAAAAGGAGGCTGATAAGAAAAGACCAATTAAAGAACTGCCAAGAGTAGTATCTGAAAGTGGATTGCAGGTGCCCCAGCCAATGTGCAGTTTCTCAAATTGCTATGACTTTCAGCATTACTATAAAACAGGGGTGTTTAATCTTATCCACAAAGAGATGGTGTTGCTCCAGGATTTTATTCCAAATACCGTAGCACACCTGACTTTCCTCATAAAATCAATTGGTTTCAGTCATTAAACAATTGATCATGTGTGCACTCTTGCTTTGTTTGAATGAAAACCTATAGCCACATCTGGCTTTATAGATAAGACTGAACACCCCTGCAATAAAACTTCAGTGTTTGTTAATGCAGTAAACCACTCAATACAATTTAATACTATATGATATCTTCACGCAGTGTCTCAAAAATATATTTGTGTCTTTGAAACACTTTACAGGACTGTAAAGGACAAAAATGTTTTGTTGAAATGACATTAAATATTAAAAAATATAATAACATCATTAAAATGACAATAACAGAGAGGGGAAACAGAAAATCAATATAGGGAGTGGTAGGAGAGCAAAGGGCAATGGCAGTAGCTTTGTGTTAAACATAAAAAGCTCTCACAGTGACAGTCTTATGTCATTTAACCCTGTATGCTCCCTTATCTTACACAGTGCTGTGCTGCAGTTCTGCAAAGCACACGGTGCTGTGCTGGTAAAAACACACACACACACACACACACACATACACACATACACATACACACACACACACACACATATCATCTAAACCGCTTATCCTTCTGGGTCGCGGTGGGGTGCTGGAGCCTATCCCAGCTGTTATTGGGCGGAAGGCAGGATTGTGCTGGTAAACAATGCTGTGCTAAATGTCTGCAAAACACACGGTCTAGTTCTGGTACATCATGCTGTTCTGGAACACTGCAAAGCCCATGACGCAGTTCTGGAAGTCTGCAAGCATATGGTGTTGTGCTACTACACAGTGCTGTGCTGGAGGCCTGCAAAGCATGTGGTGCTGTTATGGTACATGGTTCCTGGCTTGCAAAGCACACTGTGCTGTACATTGTGCTGTTCTGGAAGTCCACAAAGCGCATCTTACAGTTCTGGTACACGATGCTCTTCTGGAAATCTGCAAAGCACATGGTGTTGTGCTACCATACAGTGCTGTGCTGGAGGTCTGCAAAGCACATGGTGCTGTTTTAGTGGCCTGCAAAGCACAAGGTACTGCTCTGGTGACCCACAAAGCACACAGTGCTGTTTTGGTTCACAGTGCTGTCCTGGGGGGTCAGTGAAGTACACAGTGCTGGGTTACATCCTAACAGTCTTTTATAAGATTTTACAACCTGTGAAGCAAAGTCAACAATTTACATGACAAACTTAAGGCATTTTAGAATACGTTTAAGGCAACTCTTAAATCACAATATTATGTAAATTACAAAAAGGGAGAATGTTATGAAAACAGATAATAAAACACATTTCACAAATTACTTTTATGGTTAATAGCAAACTATTCAAAGGTCTCTATTCCTGCTTCAAATTTGTCACTTGTAGCTACGTGTTTGGGCCCACACAAATTGGTTCAAATGAAACATCCAAGTGTTTACATTTACACATGATCTCTTCAACAATTAACCAAAAGACACTTTCCAGCTAAAACATCATATGTTAACACTAATTTAATATCAACACAAATCAGTCCTAAACTTTACCCACATTAATAGCAGCATTTTCATAAAAATGTTCAAAGCACATTTATGAAGAAAACACTGAAATGACACAGCAGGTCAAATAAAACTGAATGATGCCTAATGTTAATTTGTCAGCTAACTAACTCCAAGGACATCTGATCATGAATTCTACCTCTTTTGAGGATAATTCAGTGAATGTTACACCAATAAACAAAGGTTAGACTCCTCCCACCCAGTGCTGTGATTGAAGAATTTCATTACAAAGCAGAAGCACACCTTTTCAAAACTAATCAGGTATGTGAAGACTGAGACAAGCTGAACAAACAAATAGAATCCGGTGTGTTTGATTAGAACTTCTTATCTCACCAAAAATCCCTTAACTCTATCTTGAAAAAAATAAGTAATGGGCATGTCTTGTACTATTGCAGGACACAGACAGACCCCTCTCGAAGTTGCTTTTCTATAAATTGCTGAAGTCGTGTCTAATTTTCTAAGCGGCACCATGCTCTTATGCCCATATAAGGAATTCTGAGTCTAAAAGGAATTTCTGTTAAAGAATGGAGTTTTGAAAATTGCCTCTTTCGCATCCTGTGATAATAAAAAAGTTCCAAAGCTGATACATTTTGTCCTACGAACATTCTTCTTTCGAGTATCACTGGATCCTCTGAATTACGAGGTCGTTAAAAAGTCGAAATATGAATATTGCTAGATGTAAGCTAATGCTACTGTGCACTGATAGCATAAAATGGTTTTACTTGTTATACCCTTCTGGCAGCATGCACACAGCAATCTTCAAACAGCTGGTTGGCTGATTGCCCAAAGAGTACTACTCAAATATGCCCACTACAGACAATACACACTTCTGTACTGATGTGTGCCCATGTGTGCAAACTGCACCACACTGAAATAAATGTAAAAGGCAGCTGACATCTTAGACAGCTCAGATCTATGTGATGTTAATTATGCAATTTTGCAAATATTAAATCTGCAGGGGGTACGATTACATAACAAAGGCACAGAAGATCCATTCATAGCAGCATGCTTTACCAAATACACTGTTTTCAGTATAGCACAAAGGAGGTTTTGTATCCATAATGACTCCTGTACAGCCACTTGTTTTGCTTATATTTCTTATTTTCTTGTGACCTCAATCTTGAAAGATATTTTTCACAAATTTTTAACATGACACCCTGTTTGAGTCTGGTCAATAGTTTGATGACAGGAGGGGCAATTTATGTACTTGCAAGACTGCTACCAAGAACATTTCTGAACAGACAGGCAGTTCACAGCAGCTTACTTGGTAAGTTGTCTGAACCTTGAACCTCTTCTACTTTATTAGTATCTGGAACCCATCCACCATAGTGAGGGCCCCTGGGCACATACAAGACATTTACTAGAAAGAGTATGCTTTTAACAAGCACATACAACATGTGAGACAGTTGATGAAGTGGATCTGCTAAAATGTTGGCTTCTTTTATTTCTGTTTAAAGTAGTACAGTATTTCACCTTATTTTCAGTAAAATCTGTCAATGGGAAAATCAAGAAACAGTGATTGTAGTCCTTCCAGTTCTTTGATCCAAAGTGCATCACTGAGTTAGGTCTCAGCACCTCCAGGAAGCCAAGGTAACATAAGAACATTTATTTTAACATTTTTAGATTGGTTTTATTATTTTAATTTTGTCTTCACTCAATATTTCACTTAATAACATTTCCGATGTAATTTTTGACAGATCTTGTAATAAATGTTTTCTTGTTTTTATCATAATAGTAGTCTTTATTTTGTCATGGTTGAATATTTCCTAATACTGCTGATTTTATAGTTCCCATGATAAATGGTGAGCATGAAGTTTTAAAAAGATCAGGTGAGATAATGCCCAGCACTGCAGTTGCTCATGAGTGGCCTGTACCATCTTCCTTTCATTTGAAACTAGGAGGGCACATCCTAGCCTGTTCTCAACAATGACACAAGCTGTCAAGAAAAAGGCCCTGCCACAATACTGTATTTCTACTATACTTTTTACGGCAGCTCAACTGCTTTTGTATGTTTGCTGGATTATAGACATAAAATTTCTCTCTCATTTGACAAGAACACATCTGGGGCCTAAATGAAAATGGTTCATAGTGTGCTTTTTTGTAGACTTCTCACAAACATTCATGTGAGCTACATCAATTATTGTGTTCTAATGGTTGGTTCCAAAATAACATCAAGAGGACATCTTTCAGAGAATCAATTCATTTTCATGTTAATCTCACAGTGAAGAAGGGTCTAGATATACAGACATCTCAAAACAAACTTGAGTGTCCTTCAGAGATTGGTCCTATAAAACGTTAAAATATTTAGCAAATCAATGCTTATGAGTATGGTTGCTTTTTAGGGTTAGGATCCCATCTGGCAATATTAAGTGCATTTACAGCAAATACTACAGGAGGGGCCTGGTGAACGGCTAATTGGGATTTCTATATCCTCCTGAGACTACTACTCTTAAAAACACTAGCTTTCTCTGCAATTTGTTGGAGGATAAAGACAGATTTATATGCAAGTTAGACCACTTCTTGGAAGCCTTATGTATGAAAACTTAGTTTGAACAAAAACACTAATGACATCTTTTGCTAACTGCTTAAAGTGGTGAGGTTAATACTTCATGTTAATAAAACAAGCTTCTTGTATTCAAACATTACTATGATAAGAAAGAAGGTTCAAACCGGATACTGTTTAATTATTTACAATCTCCAGAGGGGTTTAATTTACTGCTTTAATTTTGGAATTCAAGACAATAATCCCAAATTTTCAGTGCATTTCTTGTATTGTATTCTGATGTGCAAATTAACTTGTGACTGATTGCAAAACCTCTAAACAAGAGGTACTGGTAGCAGGTCATAGATACAACCATAACTAGGGTGGTCTTCCTTAAAAATGTACAGCATGCCCACTAATGGTATATGGCAGAAATCATAACAGAAATAAATTAAAGGTTTAGATGATAAGGGTATGGTTCTTTTAATATAATATAATATTTATATAATATTTAATATAAGTCTCAACTTATATTTGAAAAAGATATTTTAATTTTTTAGAGTACAACCAAGGTAAACCTGAATGGATTCAAATGAATACATTCACAAGAATGATCACAAAGGAAGGCACATATGTGCAACAACATGGTCCACATGCCTTGTACTGAAACACAAATCCCACAGACATTTTGTTATAAGCAAAATGGTTCCGGTGGCCTGTGATGATGAGAGCATTAGGGCCCAAACAACAGCAATTGATGTTTACAAAAAAAAAAAGTTTGGGAGGCAGAGAAGTGTATAATTTGTACGTCAAAAGCAGTTCATGTCCCCATGCCTAAAAACTGTGCTTTAACAAAATGCCAGCACTGTCGGACAGTTGAGAAATCCAATCCAAATGCTGAGAAATTACAGATTCCTTGGTGCAGAGACATCTTCTTAGATAATGCCATTTCCAATTTGCCCTCTACCAAAGTTCTCTCACAGTTACTCTGAAAACAAAATGGTAAAAGCCATGATGATACAGCAAAAAGCCACATACGGGCTTTTTCGTTCACCTGGAAGACAAAACAAAAACAATTATATTAATCATAATGCAGAACTATTAAATAAAAAAAAAACAAAACAAAAAAAAAAAACAAACAAAAAACTCCACTACCATTGTATGCTGTAACTCACAGAGCATAACATACCTATTCTTGCACATTTCCAGAATATACCCAGAAATCTGTAGGGCAAAGAAGAGAAAAGTTTGTGAGACTGCTTTTTATGTAAGGTTATGATTAGGGTTATAAACTAACAGGCAAAAAAAAAATCATAACATTGCAGTTATTAATTGTAAGTATGAATATTCATACTTTAAACACATGGTCATTTATCTCTACTCTAATTACATGGAAACTGACTATGAATAAAAGCCTTAGGTATCTCACAGCAAATAATTAAAGACCTCAAGCTTTCTCGCTCACTTCTGTCCTTTAGTGAATGAATGTTTAGACTTTGAGAAGATCTCTAAACACCTTTTAAATTGTGATGGCAAAGGGAAAGCAAAGACAGCAAACAAAGAAGTACACTACAGAACAACTGGTTCATGACTACTTGCCAATGCACAAGTAAGCACTCTTTCAGCCATCTTCCTGAACAAAGATGACAGGTAGCAGGACCCTGGGATGTGGCATGAACAGAAACAACAAAACCCTATAGTCCTTTTTTTTGTTGGCAGGCTGGGGTTAAACAGTTGTTGGCTAAACAGAATTAAACAGTTGTCGGTTTCACTAAAATTAAACAAACATTTAAAATATTTTTGTCTTTATGTTTTGTGTAAATAACACGGTTTAAGCCGACAAAAATATTCATTACATTATTGTATTACTTGCAGGCACGGGACATCTATGCTTTCCGTAGCAAAACTTCTCGACAAATGTCCGAACAGATAGCAGTAGGACAGTGGGAACTGTGCAGTGCTGAAAACGAAAACTGTGAAACCGACACCAAGGCTAATTTTTGAGAGTTTCAGTGGGTACTAAAGTCTTTACAATAATACCCTACAATTCTAGATAAGCCATTTTAGAGAGAGCATTTGTTTGCGGAGATTATATCACTTGATTAAAATTAATGATAATTTCCATTTCAGGCCTAATATGTATGGGAGGCAAATCCAGCCAAAAAAGAAATTAAAATTAAAACAGTAAAATGTAAATGCAAACCTCTTTTTGCTGTTTCTTTTTCCAAACATCTGCGCAAATATCCTGCCAAAATTGAAAATGAAATGAAATACCTACGTTTGCAATTTAAATTTCTCACATGAGCACAAGTAATTTGTGACAAAAAATATATATATATACAAAAAATTAAAACAGCTATTTGTCATTTCATTTTAGTTGTTATTCTGGTATTTCATGGCCATATCTAAAATGAAAAAGCTAATAGAGAAAAGAAAATATGAGCTTCACTTCGGCTTTTCCTCATGAATTGCACAATACGTGTCAAAACTAAAATCAAAATGCAATGTTTGTGTTCTTATTTCTTTTTCATAGCAATAGGCTGCATATCTGACATATAAATAAGAACATAAACATTGCATTTTGATTTTAGTTTATACACGTATTGTGCATTTCATGAGGAAAAGCCAAAGTGAAGCTTAGATTTTCTTTTCTGTATTAGCTTTTTCATTTTAGATATGGCCATGAAATACCAGAATAACGACTAAAATGAAATGACAAATAGCTGTTTTAATTTTTTTTTGTCACAAATTACTCGTGCTCATGTGAGAAATGAAATTGCAAACGTAGGTATTTCATTTCATTTTCAATTTTGGCAGGATATTTGCGCAGATGTTTGGAAAAAGAAACAGCAAAAAGAGGTTTGCATTTACATTTTACTGTTTTAATTTTAATTTCTTTTTTGGCTGGATTTGCCTCCCATATAATAATATGTGGCAGGCATCTTGTTTCCTTTGCCTCAAACTGGAAGAAACATTTTCTTTTAGGAATTCTCCAGAGAAAATGAGTCTAGTGAAATACAGGGAGATTCACTTGAAAGAGGCCCCAAATATTTTATAATAACTCTCACTAGGATGAAGCAATCTGAACGAAACGACGTGCAATGTGCTCCTCAGGAGGAGCTTCGAACACGCTGGGATGCCCCTGCGTTGGAGCGATGATGTAGGCGCCAGTCAGTCATCGCGACATTTAACCTCCATTTGCAACTTCCGGGTGCATACCCCCATTTTTCTTGTGTCTGGCAGAAAACGGAGATCACTTCCAGCATCACATGTAATGCAATCAATTACACATACGTCAAGGTATGTAGCGTATTTTTTGGTTCAGATTGCTTCATCCTAACAGGAGTTACAACAGAATATTCGGGGCCTCTTTTGAGTGAATCTCCCTGTATATCTTGGGCAAAAGAAAATAAAGCCAGCAATAAACAAAGGCATTTGCTGACCTATCACATTTAATTAAATAAAGTCACATCTTCAATTTTAAAGCACTCAAAATATTGGGTATACTGACACAAATACTTTCTACTACCGTTTTCAGGCCATCACAAAAAAATGTAATCATCAACAGAAACCAAGATGTTTTCTTGATGCATAATTATTGCCTTCATGTCAGCGACGCATTTATCATCTTTTGAGTGAAATATACACTTAAAGTAAAACTTCAAGTGTATATTTAAACTTACATCTTAAAGTATGTGGATGCGTATGTGTAGCCATGCAAGCTCCGTAAACACTGACGGTAGAATTGGTTGTACTGAAGAGCTTAGTTACTAAATGTGGCAGCCATAGGACATGTCCGCTTGTGAAATTTCTGCTCTGCTAGATCTGCTCCGTTCAACTGTAAGTGTTATTATTGTGAAATATAAGTGTCTTAGAGCAACAACAGCTTAGCCATGAAGTGGTCATATCTGAAAAGTAAGATCTGAATCTGACTTCCACAAAAATGGTTCACTGACCACAAAACTTAACATAAAAAAAAAAGAAGTGCAGTACAATGTTTTACATATGTGCAAAAACATTTGAGCTGATAATGTAAAAAAAAAAATCTTGTTTTTATTTGTGGCTAATAACAAAGACATTTCTTCATACCCTTCTTGCTCATACTTATCAAAAGGACCAAATCAAAACATGTCACTAAAAAGGCGATTTTCAAACAAAATTGTAAGCAGTGTGAGCCTTTGGCAAATTCTGTCAGGAGTGGTTAACGGTGGTTTGTTCCAAAAATCACTTTGAAGACGGCTAACAACAAAGCATTCTACAATATTTCAGGTACATACCCTGTTTTATTCTTATCAAGCAGACTTGGTGCTAGTGCTCTGATGTATGCACAAGTACAGATGAGCAGTAAGATGACAGTGAGTAAGCTCTGGAAATTGAATATGGCAGACTGCAAAAAAGTACAAAGATATATGTGATTACTGACAATGTATGAAAATATCAAATCACATCTCCTTTAATTTCAGAGTAACCTTCTTTTAACTCTTTTTATATGGGTCAATTAATACAGCCTCTACACTATTTCATGAAAAAGCACTGGAAGGCAATATTTCGACTTGGACAAATACACTGTCTGTGGCAGTCACACCACCTAATAAATCTAGACACTAACCATTGCCTGACTAACACTACATAATCCCTGCGTCATGTCTTTGAAGAATCCGAACTCGGAAGAGTCTGCATGTTTGAACAACCGATCCTGGCAAAATGCGATACTTCAAATCTCAGTTACTCACCTAACGTTAGCTATCTAGCTAGTTAGGCGGCTAATTTATGATTAAATTTTACTCCGTTAGCTAAGCTAACTAGATACGTCCGCTTGTGTACTAGCCCATCCAATTTGTGCTATATTACGGAAGAACACATCAAATAAGCTAAGTAAAGACAGTAAATATATATTAGCTACAAACGACGACCGAGATTCCCAAATGAGCTTGTTAAACAAAGAAAAAAACTGTACGATTGTCTTACCATTTTGATAGCTCTAACAAGCCACCTCACACTTCCTGATACGGAGGAAATGACGATAGAGGAAATGACATGCGTCGCGGGAATAAAAGTTGTATGTTACTGAAAAAGAGGAAAAAGACATAGTTAGCTACGAGTGCAGTTACATTGAAACTTATCAAAATTATGTATTCAGTTAAACAATTCATGCCATAGACAGTCGAGATTAAGTGATGAAGTGAGACGATACAGCAGCGTGCGTAATCAGTAATTCGCTCATGGTATGTTTGCGGTACTTTTAAAATACATTTGTTTTGCTTGCTAGCTGGCGTTTGCTATTTGGCAAGCACGTTATTTCCTCAAAAATATTTAGTTTGATTTGCTAATTGTTTTATTACCTGTAGAGACAGAATTGAATAGATGCTGGACAGTCTGTAAACACTATGCATTTTCCTTGAATAACTGAATAAGATTTACACAAATTATGTAATCATGTATTAGGTATGAATTAACTGCATCATGGTGACACATCAGTGCTTTAAGCGTGAGGGTAGTCTTGTTTTATTAAGGGGTCGTGGTTAAAAGAAAAAAAGCATTCCTTTGTAAATGTTCTGCATTACGATGCAAACGTTTTGCAATCGCTTGCAAAAGCTGTGTTTTGCTTAAGCTCAGAGATGGAGCAGCTCATTAAATTTACATTGATCCTGGATTGAAATATAAGGACATAGTGTCGCTTTCAAAATCAAACATGATCATGCTATTAGCGAGCGCAAACTGAAACTGAGATCGAGTGTCCTCATACAGTGCTGAATAAACTCAACATAGACTGGCGAAGCTGGGAAAACAGCTTTTAACGTTAGCTATGCTAAACGCAAAGTTCTAATGTAAGCAGTGTCGTTGGGCACCTCTTGGTCCTACGTTTGCTTGCTGTCTGACAAGCATATGTTTTGCGAGGGTACGCAATGTAATTAACCTAACTTTTTTTAACCACGGCCCCTTAGGGGCTCCATAGTTTGCGGCACACGGGTTTGCACCCCTTTTTTGATAGACTGTGGTTCACGCTGTTACAAAAACATGGATTTGGACTGACACAAACATGACTCATACAGTCGCAAGTACCCTTATTTCCAACACATATTAAATGAAATAAAAGTAGTAGTAGGTACTATTACTATTACTTACAAATTTTGCTATAACTTAATTCAAGTAAAAGAAAACTTCCCTGAAATATATATGAAGATAAAAAGTGCCTTGTTTAAAAGTATTCATAACAGAGCTAATTTGTTAGCTGCAGCTAACTTGTAGTGTGTTTCTGGGGGTAAATGATATAGCTAGCCAACATAAATGTCTTCTTCATGAAAATGTACACAACTATTTTTATGTCACAGAGTTCACACTTTAGATAAGTGATTGACAACTGGTGAATCTCCTAATAGTAGTATGGAACATCTGACTTAAAAAAGGAATCACTGTCTGGTTATCACTGTCAAAGTCTGGTTATTTAACATTGCTGGAAATTATAATGTTCACAGATTTTAATTTTATTTATTTTACTTTATTTGATTTAGTTTGATGGGCTGTGTAAAATGAGTAGTGGAAAGCAGAACTATGTCATTCAAAGGCAGTGAAAATGCTGCCATTTTAAACTACTTCAAAAAGTATGGTTAATGGAGCAAGTAAGTAAAATAATGAGAGTATTTGTGATTTACTTCTTAGCATTGTGTAGTTTACAAATGTGTACACAGGAAAACAAGTGAAGTGCTGATACTCTGCATTGCTTCTGGCTGGATTCCCCCTCAACTCTTACACACTGGCTTATTTTTTTAATGAAGAAAGCTTCAATAACTGATGGTAGTTATTCCTACAAAAAAACAAAAAAAACAAAAAAACATTAAAGCTCTCACAAATGACAGGCCAGAGAATTGGTTTTCTATCTCAAAACTAATCTGATGACAGATGATTGTCTAATTTTAAAAAGTCAGCAGGGCTATACAAATTAAAGTTAACAGTTTCCTGTGCTATTTGGGTTTGTGCTTGTATAATTTGTGCTTATGTTCATCTCTTGTTTCTTGTTCTAATGTAGAAATAATGCTGCCGTTATATTTGCATTTTAGGTTTGTACACCTTCAGTTAGCTATGAAGGTCACTGTGCGTCAGATACCTATTGTCTCTAAACCTGAATGCACATTCTACCTCAAGTTAGAGTGGGCCAAAGACCTAGGAGCTGGCTTTGTTGTTCTGCTCTGTGATGGCATTTCTGCATGGAGTGGTGAAGGTAGGCCTTGATTGTTTTACTGACAGTGTCCAGTTAGGCATGTCAAAAGAGCTGAATTCCTCATTTTTTTCAGCCTCATTCATTCATCTTTAACTTTGTGTGTTGTCGTTAGTTTCTGAGGATGATGTAACCAGGGAGGCCCAGGAGATGGAGATGGCAAGGGAGAAGTATGTTTATGACCTGCAGCTGGCTCTAACAGGGGAGGGCCAGGAAGCCCAGAGCTACAGCTTCCATCTAGCACCTGAGAAAGCTGGTGGCCCTATGCTCCAGCTGTCTTATGAGAAAGTGCAGAGTGACGTCTCGGTGAGTGGCATGTTCTAGCTTGGTGCTTAAAAGCTGTCAAAAAGGGAGGCAGTTAATAAGCTGAGAGAGGATCAAGATGGTATAAAATGGGATTATTTACTATAAATTAAACTATTCATGTATCTCATGGCTCAGAGAGGACTTACTTAGACTCAGCTTCAAAGGATCCTCAGGCCTGAATGGCCAAGGAGCGCTTATTTCAGTCAGCGATGCTTTTTGTGTTTTGTATTTACTGGTGAACCTAAACCCTAATATGCAACATATAGACATTTAAAATTATGTACACACCAATAGTTTGATGTTCGTCTAACTTACACTCCTAATCTATTCTAAGACACGGTTTCTCACCCTGTGGACCACAGGCCTGTACTTAGAGGGATGCAGTAATTTGGGCAAGTCATAAAAACACAAGTGGAATAATGATCAACTTAATAATTAAAAATCTAAGAATTAAATGTTTTCACAGAACAACTAATATAAATATTTATAGAGATGTACAAATAAAAACGTTGCAGTACTGGGCAAATTAAACATCATCAGTCTGAGGCAACACAGCTGCAGGCACGCAATGCAGACAGCTAGATGAAGAGGCTTCTCAGGGGGCTTTCTTTGGTGTGGACTTACCACACCTTTTTCATTAGTTTGTTCGTTTTGACATGTCTGAACACTACATGGGTATTTGGGTCTGCGGCAAGCGGTTGAACAGGTCCGGCAGAAACCCGTGGGTCTTGGTGAACTTCAGACAAACCCTGTTCAGTTCACTGCTGATGAAAACGCCCTCTGTGATCAAACAAGGGAGTTCATCAGCAGTGCTGGCTTTCCTTCTCTTCTAGAGGCACGTCGACGCTGTACAGTCAGCATAATGACTGTTTTAACGACTGACTTTTCAGACACTGAGAACAAGCTGCTGTTAAAAACAATAGACAAGCCAAGAAATAATAGTCTAAAGTCTATTGTCTATTGCAGACAAGTTTCTGGAGGTGTACCAGTAAACTGACTTGTTGGTTTGGCTGAGCTTTTAAGCACTGTCATGCTCAGGGAATACTGAGCACAATTAAAAGCCTGTTTAATGATGCTGACCAAACAAATCCTAACTGGTGGCAAAACAAAGTCAGTGCCTTTGGGACAGACATGGGTGCCACAGGTGGAATAGGTGCATTCTTTAGAAGTGAGATAGAAAAACATGTTCTGTCATTTCACCACAGACTGGAACTGGCAATGCCAAACACTCAAAAGTCTCTTCCAATGATTGAAAAAGTCCATGACCTGCTACAGCTGGTAGGGAAAACGTAACACTTTAGCCCCAAAAGCAAGCATGAGCTAAGGGCAGTTGGTGTGGAGTTAGGGTGTACTCACCCCATACGCACACCTTCTGCAGTGAAGACTCGGAGGTGGTTTTCCGAGCGCTGTCCATTTTTCTGATCATGCCACAGGACAGGGCCAGTATACAGCTGTTCACCATCATATGGAGCATCTTTCTGACATACATCATCTAAACCGCTTATCCTTCTGGGTCGCGGTGGGGTGCTGGAGCCTATCCCAGCTGTCATTGGGCGGAAGGCAGGATACACCCTGGACAGGTCGCCAGTCCATCGCAGGGCAGACAGACAGACATACACAATCACACACTCACTCACACCTAGGGGCAATTTTAGCACGTCCAATCAGCCTGACTGCATGTTTTTGGACTGTGGGAGGAAACCGGAGTACCCGGAGGAAACCCACGCAGACACGGGGAGAACAGGCAAACTCCACACAGAAAGGACCCTGGTCGCCCAGCTGGGAATCGAACCCAGGCCATTCTTGCTGTGAGGCAACAGCGCTACCCACTGCGCCACCGTGCTGCATCTTTCTGAGACGTACAAAAATACTGATATTAGAGGGAGAGCACAGCATATTGCACAGCAAATGGAGAGTTTGCTCTTTGTTGGATTTTGTCACTTTCTCAATGATCTGTGAAAAGTTAAAAAATTTTGAAATACATTTCTGGCCAATTATTTTAACAGCCATTTGCATGTTCCAAGCTTTCATTGCAAGCATGCACAGCTTTGCTGTTTTGGCTAAGACCCCCCTCGAGTATGTCAGTAAAGGTTTGTACATACTAGGGGTGGGAATCTCTAGGCACCTCACGATTCGATTCGATTACGATTCAGAGGGCTGCGATGCGATTATAAAACGATTATCGATGCATCTCGATGCATCTTTTTTTTTTCTATACAGGATTTCTATTTTCTTACTGTGTCAGGACTTGGTACGTTTAAAGCAAAGTATTTGTAATGATCTATAATGCATTTACGTCCAATATGTTTTATTAATAAATCAAATGGAAGTGATGTGGCAAGTGAACTAGAAGGCTCTCATTCACTGCTATTGCTTGGAGCACATGAGACTTTTTAACTGTTCTTTGACACTGCAGCCTTGTTCTTCTATAGCCGCGTTTGGCCATTTCTTTCTAAGTCTCTTCAAACACGGAGGGTGTTGGATAAGTTGGCTCATTTTTTGTACAGAAACACCACAAATGTTTATGATG